TCAATGAGCTTATGATAGGTCGATCAATCATAGTTGTCAAGATCGGTCGAGCTACATCCTCGCTTTGCCCCAAGCTTGGCAGAGAAACCACACACAACACCTACAGCCTAGTGTTCGACGCTCGTTTCGGGCTTTGAAGACTATTGCTTGATTTGACACCAAGCTCGGCTTCAACAGTGAGTCTCTAAGTGCATGCTCGATCGGGCTTTCATGACCGACCTTACATCTGGTCGACGGTCATCACAATTGGACGTTATTACCTGTGCCACCTGTTAAAGCTTAGAATACAAAAAGTCAGAGCATAAATGTAATTTTCGCGTGGTCTTGTCGCATTAAGTGTGGCAGCCTTTATCAGTTACGTTTCATCGCACATGGGTGATAACAACTGTTCACGTGTGAAGTTGCAGCGTCATATGGCGATGGTTATCATTGTAATCAATCCGATGGTTTGTTGCACCTCATGGATGGTCGACACGTGGCCACATCTAAGGGCTAAGATTGCTCACCAAACGAAGGGCTAGGATCAGTTGCAAGTCAATGGTAGAAATTGAACTCCGCTATTTCGTCTTCCATGCAAAAACCACTATAAAAGGTGGTGAATATCATCAGAATAGCCACTCTGAAAGTTCTTCCACCCTTTTGCTTTTCTTTGCTGTTGCTTTTACGTCGTTGCAATGGTTTTTCTTACAAGTTCTCAGCACTCTTCTTTATTCCAGTAAGACTTCTTTATCTTCCTTGCTCATTTTTTTGACTTTTGTGCTAAAGGGTGGCTGTTGTAGTGGCCACATTGGATGTTTTAAGGTTTTAGTAAGGTTTTTCGGGTGTATTTCCGACGATCTCAGGTTTTAAAAGGGTTTAATCGCGGTGGCCACCAGTGTCCTAGGTAGGTCGCGTGACTTCCTTGTGTTGCGTGAGCTATTTCGAGTGCCTTAGATAGAAGCGAATGTGGAATGGTCGCCAAGTTGTTCAAGCTCTAACACATGTTCGCTTCTTTTTCAGGTACCTAGAGTCAAATTACAACCATTTCCTTGTCTAGCAGTCGCACAATAGATCAAATGTTCAATTCATTGGTTGGCTCGGTAGCACTAGGGGATGCGTCCCCCGAGATATTCGAAGAGTTTGTCACCAGAAGCTCGGACCCCAACATTGCAGGCTTGTCTGACCATGCTTCGATCCAACTGGCTCATTCCCCGCCGTCTCCGAATCACAGGCTACGAAAAGAGCCACAATCCTTAATCACCTTCGAGGATCTTGAACACATCAGGGCGACCTACGCATCGCAGCTCAACCTGATGGTCCTAGGAGAACACTTTCGAAAGAATCCTCCAGTTGGATGGGTGTAGAGATGGCAATGGGCCCGATATTTTCAGGTACCCTACCTGGCCCCGGCCCGGGAAGGTCCGACTTTACTCGATGTTAATGGGCTTGGGCTTAGGCCTGAGCTTGATTTTAAGGCCCGACCTAGGGTACGGGCCGGGCTTAGGTATGTCTTCAGGCTCGGCCCGACAATTTTAGTATTAATTATACTAAATTACCCTTATACTATATATTTAATTACAAGATTATCTTACATATATATACTCATTTTTCCCAAGCCCTACATGGATGGATGAATGGATGCACTTTGTGGAAAGTCATTTATATATTTGGTGAATATTAAAAAATAAATTAATATTTAAAAATTGTTTCTAGAATTAAAAATATAAAAAAAAAATTGCAATTTATTAATATTTAAAAATTCATATTATAAAAATGGCGGGCTTGGGTTGGGCCTGAGGTTACAAAAAGCCCATCGGGCCGAGCTTGGGTTTTACCTGTCATACCCGTGATGGGCTCGAGTCGGGCTTAGGCCTTTGTCATGAGGTCGGGCTTGGGCCTGGGCCAAGGGGTACCCGATCTTGGCCCGGCCCATTGCCATCACTAGATGGGTGGCAATTTTCGAGATTCTCCTCAAGTGCGAGGTATCCATTCCCCTTCACCCTTTCATCGATAAAGTGTTGAGGTGATTCGACATCGCTCCTCTCCAACTGATGGCCAACTCTTACTTGATCATTACCAAGGTATACATCACGTACATGATCGCTGAGCTAGGCGAGCTGTCCATCGAAGAGTTTGTCCACATGTACATGCTCAAAAAGGGGCAAGGCCAGATGTACTACCTTTCCAATGTGAGGAAAGTACGTTTCAACAGGCTGGTGGATGTCCCAAAGAAGGTCCCACATTGGGATTCCCAATTCTTCTTCTTCGAAGCCGAGACGAGCGGTGTCTTCGCTCTGGAAGCGAGTAAGGCTTTGGTCGCTCGTGTACGTGAGGACAATTTTCAAGCTTTGCTTCATTGTCTAACCGAATTACTTTCTATTGCAGTTAACATTGAGCAGAACTATCTCCTAACGGCGAGCTTGCAAAGGCTGCAACGTTTCAGTGATCTTCCTGACAATTCGCGCAACATCCATGAGTTTCTTACGCTTCCTCACCTAAAGGTGTACGGATTTTGTAGGGACGAGGCTAGATTTTTAGCGCTTTTGGAAAAAGGTAAGTTATTGCTTGCTTGCATTTGATTTCTCGCGCAAATTGATCGCTAACTCGTTTCCCTTTTTTAATGCTATTTTTGTTTCTTGCTCGCTTCTCATCTTTTTGTTTTCAGGTTGCCATCGCGAGCTGACTCCTATACGAAGAATGTGGCCAAACCTTGGAGGGAACTCACAAGGGATGGATGCTGGCAGAGACGTAGCTACTGGCCAGAGTGTGCAGCGGCACAGTAATCTCTTTTTCTTCCCGCATCATTCCATTGTTCTTCAGAGATGGTGATTTTTGAACTCGACAACGATGAAATTTGGAGAAGTGGTAAACATATGAAATGTAGCCCTTTGAATCAGATTTCCGACAGTCAAAGAATCGAGTTAATCCAATTTGTAAAACTCAATATATTCTCAAAACACCGAGGCATGCTCAAGCTGGAACGTAATCTAGAATCTTCTCTTTACTTCAACTTCGATAACTTCTTCAATTCAACTTCGATTCTTGATCCGTTTGTTTCCACTCGTCACTCATTTCGTTGCTAACATGATTTTTCATCCGAGCATAACATTTAAGTACTAGTATCCTAAAAAACACTCAAAAACACCTGTGATCACGTAAAAGACAATTATGAAAATATTAAGCAACTTTACCAAATTAAGCCTAATTTCCTACAATTAATTCCCATAAACCGCTTACTAAATGTGTATTTTCAAGCTCTTATCACAACCCCCAACCAGCTTCTTGCTAGTCCCTAGGAAGCTAAGCGATAAAACAAGTCCTTTTAGCTTGAAACACAAACAAAATAAAATCTATATCTAAATTATCCTAAATCACTTCCGTAGATTGTCACAGTTGCATTTAGCATATGCAACAAGCCTTTAAACCCCTAGGCGACCCTAGTTGGATGAGTTGTAGTCTTGTGAGGGTTTCCAGTGATGATACCCATAAACATCCAAACCTAACCTCACTTAGACTCAGAACTAAAGACTCAAACAAACATTTTAGGGTCCATACAAATAATCGTCTCAAAAATTGTGTCAATGTGAACAAATAGAATAATTAACAACACGCAAATGCAAAGAATAAGTGAATTTCAACTACACTTTTTTTATTGACTCTCTCATAATCATTCACAAACCATTCATCCAAAAACCCAAATGATTTTATGCGTAGCTTCCATAGGCAAAGTACGAAAATAAAACAAATGTGCAATCAAACTCCATAGGCTAACTTTTCAAACCACTCTCTACAAATGTAGAATCCAATCACTACCTCGGATCATTAGGTATTTACCATGGTTATAAATTTAGGCTAGGATAATGGTTTATGAAAGAACGGAGAGGAATTTTTAACAAAATGTAAGATACTTAATATTTTACAGTAAATAACCATGAAGAATCTCTTTCTTTCTTCCCTTCTCATTCACCCTCTACCCTTTCACATTGATTGAACTCTTCCTTCCAACATTAACACAAACCCTCATGTAATGTACCTCATTTCAAGTTCTTCTCCCCAGCTACTTCTTCCTATTTTTCTGTAAATTTTTCTTTTTTTCATTTTTTTTTCTTTCTTTTGCTTTTTTTTTTTTTTTTTTTAAGGAAGATAGTAACCCATAAAAAAAATTCGTCTACCCCACCTTGCTTCTACTATCATTTTTTTTTTTTTTCACAACCGCTAACCTATTTCATTGCACATACTCAGGTTGTGGTCCAAAAGATATATTTATTTTTTTCTACCACACTTCTTTTCATGAGTTTTTTTTATAAGATCACCCTAAATTAAGTCTCTCAATAAGATGGGTCGGAAAGTGTTTTAGGCTTCATCGTTAAGGTGAGATATAGTAGGTTTATAACAAAAAAAATAAAAAATAAATAAGGCTTACCAAGTGTACAATAATAGGCTCAAACGGTTAACTAGGGATGAAATTGTTAGGAAATGACCCGGTTGCGCAGCGGAAAACAAAAAAAATTACAACCATGGATCGTTCCCTAGAACCCAAAATCAGGGCATAGAAAATTACAGTTTATATTTTATAGAATCTGCAGAAAAATAAATCCAAAGGTTTGGATTCATACCCACGTTTGGAGGCTCCACCAATGTTGTCTCTGAACGTGTTTGCTACCGATCTAAGTATAGGATCGAACCAAGAAGTCCACACAAAGACAATCACCAAGAACCAAGGAGGGATTTGCCAGATCCTCCTTGGCCTTAAGAAATCAAGAAGAAAAGGAGTACTAGATTTTTCAATCAAAAGGGTGAAAGTGGCGTGGGAGTGAGTGTATGGGGTGTTGTGTTTTCTTTTGTTTTTCAAAAAGGCAAAAATGAATTAAATTGTAAAACACACAAACACTATTCTTTTTATAGGCAAACCAAGTTGCCCTATTCTCACATGGAATGGGCTTGGGTTCCAACCCAAACAGCCCATGTTGCCAAACACTCCCAATTAGATATTTTTTNCTATCTGATTTGATGAGTAAATGGTTTTTCTTTGATTGCTTTTTGCAGTCTTTCCAGGCGGGTGTTGTATGGATCAACTGCTCACAGCCATGCTTTTGTCAAGCTCCATGGGGAGGGAAAAAACGTAGTGGTTTTGGGCGTGAATTAGGAGAATGGTATGTTCTCTTTATTCGGATAGAAAGTACTGTGAATATTTTGGGTAGGACCTAAGTAGTTATGGGAAGTTCTCTCTTTTCATTTTATTTATTTATCTCTATCCTATAAATATATTCTCATGTGTATGTCAAATTAGTGTTTGTATACTGCTGATACTAATAACTTCGTTTTCTGGTTGGCTTTTTGCAGGGGACTTGATAATTATTTGAGTGTGAAGCAGGTGACTCAATATGTCTCTGATGAACCATGGGGATGGTACCAATCTCCTTCAAAGCTGTGAGTGTCCCTGAAACAGAAATTGGAAATCACGTGTACCAAATGAGAGAGAATAAGGTTGGAGTGATGTAGTTTACTAAGGTCTATGTAAAAGACCTTGTAATAATATAAAAACGTGAATTGGTAGAACTCGTTTGTGAGAATATTTGTTTGCCATTTGTGTTTTTCTTTCAAAGTCTTCAGGCTACCAAGGACTATAATTGCATGGCATTAACCTGTTTGGTGCCTGCGCATGCCATTGAGCGAATGGTTTTGTAATGGTAGTCTACGGTTAGACTACCTCAAAAGGCCTCATTGGCATGCTTTGTTGAATAATAAGGAGAAAACTTTAGTAGTACTATTCTCTCATGGTATCCTTTTCAGAGCCCCATTGTCATTTGTGTCTGAGCTGCATCCTTATCAGACGTCATTATTTCTTCGACGATTCAATCCATGCTTTGTTTGGACTTTGGACAAGCTCAATGCTTCGTTTAATGGCATTCGCATTGTTACTGGGCACATGAGGGGATTATAGGCTTCCCAAATTTGAATGCCATTAACTCGATTTTGTTTCATTAAAATCTTGGTTAATCTTTAGCTTTAAGTTAGCTAATAATGTCTGGCTGGAAATGTAAACACGATGCAAAATGAAATTCCTGTACATCAACACCACCTGACCATTTATTTTCACATGGATAGATCTACATCTTCCATCTTTCTCGAACTTCGATAATGCACTTAACTTTTTTATTCTTAATTTGGAAGCAAGTTCATACATGATGGTAGTCTGACTGCCAACTCGAAATCTGACTCGGTCAATGCTTCATCAACAAAACAGTACTTAAAAAATGTGGGCTAAGTTCATTTTCTTCTGGCGGTAAGTAATCCAATAAATTTATGAATATGATTGGAATTTGGGGGTGATGAAGATGAATATATACAGGGCACATCTGCACCACACAAGAGTTGATTCCCATGGATATTCTGACCTACTGCACTGACAAGAATCATACTACTTGCGTTGCTGCGCAACGTGTCAGCGTCTGGATGACACAAAACTTTCATGAACCCTGATTGGCTCTTGTTGACAAGAGTGCACGTCAGCCCTAATTTTTCGGGCATAATAAAGGGTTTTGGTAAGTAATGATCGGAGAAGAGAATGGTGGTAGTGTGAGATCACAATGATACTGGAATTGGAAACAAAGTATAAATTTGAATAATAAAGTAGTATTTTAAAAGTTTGTGGGTGAAAAAGTATTATTACACCATTATTTGGTGGGAAAATGTTGTTTACTCTTCACATTCCAAGAAAAATAATATCCAAATACTATAATTATTATTGAAATAAATATACACAAAATTAACTGTCCCTCTTTATACACGTTTTTAAAAAATCTCAACCCCTAATTTTCAAGAACTGATAATATAACCCCATTCTTACTCTACAACCATTTGAAGTTTTCCAAAATATTGATACAGAAATCTGTACCAACCAGAGAATTCTGATTGACCTTGTTGGAACCGGAATGGATGTGCACGTGATTACGGATAACCAGCAGTGGATGAATAATAAATGCAATAAAGTAAATGACATAGAGATTTTTAAAGTGGTTCAACAAGTTAGAACTTGAGCCTACGTCCACTGTTATCTCATTGTTTTTGAGAGCTTACAAAGAACAGTATAATTCCTAGGAAAATTTGCTTAAAACAATTGCCCAGCCAGCCCCCTTTGAAAATGAGTTATGATGGGTTTATATAGCACCCATTTACATGATAGAGTTGAGATAAGATTCAAATATGTAGAATTAGGAAGTTGCATGATCTTCGTCTACCTTAGTTGGAGTTTAAATCAATCTGAATATCTTCCTTCCAAATTGAGCCAATCTAAATATCTTCTCTCCTAATAGGGAATTATCCTCTCCGGATTTTCGGCACAACAATAGCCCCCCAGTTTTTGGAGTGCGAGTTTGGACTTCAAAAAGTCATGTCTTTGATTTGGATGGCTGTCGCACTATAGGCTGCAATCTCGAACTGAAGAACTTGAGTTATGCATGGTGCGATCTGAGAGATATGAGAGATCTTGACCACATGATCTCAAGCGAATGAGTGAGCTTATGAGCTTAATCAGGGAGCATAAAGAGCTCGATCTGAGAACATAAAGAGCTTGATCAAAGAGCATAAAGAGCTCGATTTCAGAGTCTGAGGAGTTCGATTAGAAAGCGCAGAGAGCTTGATCGAGAGCATAGCTCGATCAGAAAGCATGTAGAGCTTCATCTGAGAGCATAGCTCGATCAGAAAGCATGTAGAGCTTCATCTGAGAGCATAGCTCTATCAGAAAGTATGGAGAACTTCATCTGAAAGCATAGCTCGATTAGAAAGCATGGAGAGCTTGATTTGAGAGCATAGCTCGATCAGAAAGCATGAAGAGTCTAATCTGAGAGCATAACTCGATCAGAAAGCATGGAGAGCCTCATCTAAGAGCATAGCTCGATCAGAAAGCATGGAGAACTTCATCTAAAAGCATGGAGAGCTTGATCTGAGAGCATAGCTCAATCAGAAAGCATGAAGAGCTTGATCTGAGAGCATTTCTCGATCAGAAAGTTTGAAGAGCTTGATTTGAGAGCATACTCGATCAGAAAGCATGGAGAGCTTGATCTGAGAGCATAACTCTATCAGAAAGCATGGAGAGTTTGATCTGAGAGCATAGCTCGACCAAAAAGCTTGGAGAGCTTGATCTGAGAGCATTGCTCGATCAAAAAGCATGGAGAGCTTAATTTAAGAGCATGGCTCGATCAGAAAACATGGAGAGCTTGATCTGAGAACATGACTCGATTAGAAAGCATGGAGAGCTCAATCTGAGAGCATAGCTCGATCAGAAAGCATGGAAAGTTTGATCTAAGAGCACGGCTTGATCAGAAACATGGAGAGCTTGATCTGAGAGCATGACTTGATCAGAAAGCATGGAGAGCTTGATCTGAGAGCATGGCTCAATCAGAAAGCAAAGAGAGCTTGATTTGAGAGCATGGCTTGATCATAAAGCATGAAGAGCTCAATCTAAGAGCATGGCTCGATCAGAAAGCATGAAGAGCTTAATCTGAGAGCATGGCTCAATCAGAAAGCATGAAGAGCTTGATCTGAGAGCATGGCTTGATAAAAAAGCATTGTGAGCTTGATATGAGAGCATAGCTCGATCATAAAGCATAAAGAGCTTGATCTAAGAACATAGCTTGATCAGAAAGCATGGAGAACTTGATTTTAGAGCATTGCTCGATCAGAAAGCTTGGAGAGCTTGATATGAGAGCATGACTCAATTAAAAAGCATGGAGAGCTTGATCTGAGAGCATTGCTCGATCAGAAAGGATGGAGAGCTTAATCTGATAGCATGACTCGATCAGAAAGCATGGAGGGCTTGATCTAAGAGCATGACTCGATTAGAAAGCATGGGAAGCTTGATCTGAGAGCATAGCTCGATCAGAAAGCATAGGGAGCTTGATCTTAGAGCATGGCTAGATTAGAAAGCATGGAAAGCTTGATATGAGAGCATGGCTTGATCAAAAAGCATGGAAAGCTTGATTTGAGAGCATGGTTCAATCAGAAAGTAAGAGAGCTTGATCTAAGAGCATATCTCGATCAGAAAGCATGGGGAGCATTAGTTCATTCAATTCTTGGGCCTTTAAGAATCAAAAGCATTAGGTATAATAGTAAAACTTAGGAAGAATTCTTAATAAAAATTAAAAATCAAAGATCAATACATAATCAAGAGATTGGGCTACATCTTAGCCTTAGAGAATAAATTTAGTTCATAATAAACATGAAAGAAACAATCATCTTTATTAAAACAATCATCATGAGTTTATAAGAAAAGAACAAGGAAAACTTCTCTATATTATGAATCAAAGCTCTAGAACTTCTATTACTTCTCTTTCTCTGCAGATTTTTCTCCTCTTCTTCTCACCAAAGAATCCCCAGAATAATGCTAAAAGACTTCTATTTATATCCCACAAGGGTTAGGGTTTTATTTTTCTTAATTCTATTTGGTTTAGGACTCTTAGCCCTATTCTCCTACTTAAAAACGGATAACTAGTTTTTAACTTCCGTGACTGTGCCCTGGCACTGTGCTGTGGCATAGTAGCTACTGAAAAAAGTGTGCCGTGGTACTGTGCTGCGGCACAATAGCTACTGGCTAGAGTGTGCCGCAGCACTGTGCTGCAGCACAGTAATCCGCATTACTCCACTATTCTTTAGATATGGTGATTTTTGAGCTTAATAACGATGAAATTTGGAGAAGTGGTAAACATATAAAATGTAGCTCTTTGAATCAGCTTTCCAACAGTCAAAGAATCATCTTAATCAGAATTCTAAAGCTCAAGATATTCTCAAAAGGCCGAGACATGCTCAAGTTGGAACATAATCTAGAATCTTCTCTTTACTTCAACTTCCATAACTTCTTCAATTCAACTCCGATTCTTGATCCGTTTGTTTCCACTCGTCACTCATTCCGTTTCCAACATGATTCTTCATCCAAGCATTACATTTAAGTACTAGTAGCCTGAAAAACACTCAAAAACACCCGTGATCCTGTAAAAGACAATTATGAAAATATTAAGCAACTTTACCAAATTAAGCCTAATTTCCCACAATTAATGCCCATAAACCACTAATTAAATGTGTATTTTCAAGCTCTTATCACAACCCCCAACCAGCTTCTTGCTAGTCCCTAGCAAGCTAAGCGATAAAACAAGTCCTTTAGCTTGAAAAAACTAACAAAATAAAGTCTATATCTAAACTATCCTAAATCACTTCCGTAGATTGTCACGGTTACATTTAGCATATGCAACAAGCCTTTAAACCCCTAGGCGGCCTTAGTTGGATGAGTTATAGTCTCGTGAGGGTTTCCAGTGATGATACTCACAAACATCCAAACATAACATCACCTAGACTCAAAACTAAAGACTCAAACAAACATTTTAGGACCCATACATATAATTGTCTCAAAAATTGTGTCAATGTGAACAAATCGAATAATTAACAACACGCAAATGCAAAGAATAAGTGAATTTCAACTACACTTTTGTTTCTGACTCTCTCATAATCATTCATAAACCATTCATCCAAATACCCAGATGATTTTATGCATAGCTTCCATAGGCAAAGTACGAAAATAGAACAAATGTGCAATCAAACTCCATAGACTCACTTTTCAAACCACTCTCTACTAATGTAGAATCCAATCACTACCTCGAATCATTAGGTCTTTTTCATGGTTATAACGTTAGGCTAAGTTAAAGGTTTATGAAAGAACGGAAAGGAATTTTTAACAAAATGTAAGAGACATAATATTCTACAGTAAATAGACATGAACAATCTCC